AATTATCATTCTACGACAGTTTTAAAAGTGGACTTAACAATTCCGATTTTATTTAAAAGCGGAATTGACAAATACAACTTTATATGGTATAGCGGAATTAACAAATCCGCTTTTAAGAATAAAACCGAAATCAACATTTCCACTTTTAATGATGAAAAAAAAATAAAAAACGTAGCCAAGGAGTACGCTTTCTCACGCCAGCACAGTGCACATCTTCCCGTGTCTTCCTGAGTCTCAAGCAATGCACTCTGGCATCATACTGCACACATTTCTGCCATCATTTGATTCCCTAAGCTCATTTAAACTATCACTTGTAAAACAATTAGGATTCAATTATTCTATTAGAACATAAAAATTAAACTCATTAAATATTCATCAATTAACAAACTCGATTCAATTATTTTATTAAGACATAATTTTGAGATCGTTAAATATTAATCAATTAACAAACTTGATGGGATATTGGTGGCAGTTGGATGAGTGTATTTGAGACCGTTGAATGACCTTATTAAAACATGTTATGTTTTATATTATAGATATAGATATCAAAATTTGGCAATTTATTATAATAAAATGGTCTTATGTGACCAACACATGATTTGGATAAAAAATTATCCTTATCTGGTGAAATTCTTTTTACATGTAAACTAGAAAATCTTATTTTATTTGGAGAAAAATGAGATAACAGATCCAAAAATAACACATAAAGAGTGAAAATTTTAGAGATATTGCGAGATAGAGAGAAAATATTAATATATTTGAGAAAAATATTTTTTATTGAACAAATATACTTTTATGGGCAATCATTTTGTCAGAATAAATTAATAGATTTAAATGAAATGACTCGATTAAAATTTAATTAAAAATTTTAATATCTAATTATTTAAATTAAAGGGTTAATTGCAAGTTGCACTTCGAAAGATAGTTGAAATCTTAATTTGCACCCCCAATCAAAAATCTCAATTTGCACCCTCAAAAATAGAAATTTGTATCAATGTTCACCCCCTTAGCAGGTCAGCGAACCAAACTTGGGACCTCAACGATTGAGTAGCGTCCCCGCGATATCCTTCTGCAAAAGCAAAGCAAAATCAGTGCATCCCTCGGACCCAAGAATAGCAAAATCAAGAAGTCAAAAAGAAAACACACCGTTCATCCCTCGGTACTTTGGGGCAGTACAATGCGTCATACTCGGGCCCGGTCCCTTTCTCCCAACTTCCGCCGAGTATTATCAGATCGTCTACATGTCCTTTGTCCGAGTCAAGCATGTGGGTTACCAGGTACATTGAGGCGTCTTGACCCTGGAGGTAATATCGCCCCCTGGCGACTAACCTCAGGTCGTAGCAGAATAAAATTTCATCTACTCTTAAGCTGGTCCCCAGCCGAGCGTTTAAGGTGACTACGCCCATCACAATCCTAAAGAAGTTAACCCCACATTGAAGGGGAAAGAGCTTCATTTGCATCAACACTCCTAGCAACAGGGGATGGAAGGGGAAGGTCAACCCTCATTCCATGATGGCCTTCGCCCAGAAAGGTATCATGTCCACATTTCCCATATCCCTTCTATGGTGAGTGGGGTTGAAGGGAAAAGCGAAGACAAGCTCACGGATGTGGTACCTAACCCTAAAGGCTTAGATATTCTCATCAGTCACTTAGGTGCTCCTCATCTTATGGGTAGTCCTAGCCCTAACAGACGTCTCTCCCCTAGTTCTAGTCATTGGTGAGCGCTAAAAGGACAAAATGTAAAAGAAAATAAAAGAGAAAAAGCTCAAATGAAAGTACTTACAAGAATGTGGTCTACAAAGAGAGAGCTCGGAGGACGAAGGAAACTCGGAGGAGAACAGAGGAGCACTCGGGGTCTGGTTGCTGAATAGAGGTTGAGGATGCAAAAGTTCTAAAACTGTATGAAAACCTTCTATTTATATTGCCTCACAGGGAGCGAAAATTGAAAAGTCGGGTCATCATTAGGAAATTTGAAAAAGGCGGCACCAGACGTGCAAGTAACTGTCGCTATCAATAAGGCGTGATGATGGAGCCTCCAATCTCTTTATGTCACTTGTCTTATACTGCGAAAAAAATGGCGACTGGGGGGCAGTTGGCCGGACTCTAGGTGGCTCTACAGCTCCCCGGGTTAACGCGTGGAATAATGAAGCCGTTGAGATGTCCAAAGGGCGCCGAGGATGTAAGTCGAGATATGGTGATGCTGAGCAGCCGAGTATGATAGCTGACAGCGTATTTAATACGATATGACCCCTCAGTTGTGGCAGAATGAGTGATAGTGACAAGACAAATAAATGTGCGTCTGCCAACACCTACCCTCTAGGAGTCTTAGCCTACTGTCATGATGGCTAAGCATTAATGACTGATGCGCCAAGACGACGCGATCGACTCCCCCCGGGGAACTGTTCCCCCCGAGTATTCAATGCTCAGTTGATGTCAGATGCCGATTTGGAGAATTTGGGTACTCGGGGAGTGGCATAAATGCTCGATATTTGGCCGAGCATTTACCCTATTTTTCTGGCATTCAATAGGAGGAGACGTGAGTAGAAAAAACTCATTGCACGAGAAATGGTGTGTCAGATGTAAGATGTCCAGATGGGACTGGAGATCTTTTGCAATCATTGTTAATTCAGGTATAAATACTCCTCAGAAAAATAGACAAAGGTACGCAAACTCAAATCTGAAAAATAGTCCATTGAGCAAAACCCTTCGATATTATACTGACTTAAGCATCGGAGGGGATTAGTCGGGCGCTCACCTGACCCCCTTTTTTCTGACCCTGTTGTTTCAGGTGCGTTAGCTTGGAGATCGCTGTCTCATACTATTGCAAGAATTATCCCGTGTAATATATATATATATATATAACAATGTACAGAGATGTAGATTTTACTTTTGAGAGAGAGAGAGCGCTTTAGAGAGGTTTAGTCTATTGAACAGACAGTGCTTTAGAGAAATATCTTGGTGTGGGATGAAGAGGAGAGCACAGATCTTTCCTTCAAGGAATCTCCAGTCGTTCGGTTTCTTCATGACAGAGAGAGACAGGTGACAGAGCCAAAATAGAAAGAGAAAATGCTTAAATCTTACTAATTTATTCCTAACTATTCGAGATCATTACTCATCAATCCCGAATTACTAGGGATAACACACCTATCCCTTCATATTCTATTCAAGATCATCCTAATGCAAGATAATAATTTTTTTAATAGGATTAAATAAATAAAATCCCTAGATATCCTCCTTGGACTATATCAACTCCCCCATTTCTTAAAATTTTCCTTGTCCCGAAGAAACAATTCTGGGAAACGAAGCTGAAACTTGTCATAATTCTCCCAAGTTGCATTTGGTGGATATGTATGTTGCCATTGAACGAGTAATTGGGAATTGCCCTTATGTTGCAGAGTTTCAAGGATCGCCTATGGTGTAGGAAGTAGGGGCTGCTTGCTTTGCAAAAAAACTGGTAACTCAGTCTCCATCATCTCTTGCTCGCCCACTTGTTTCTTCAACAAGAACACATTGAAAAATAGATGGGGTTTTGATGTGTGAGGTAGATGCAAGCGATAAGAAATCTCACCAATTTTTTCTTTAACCTAGTAGGGACCATAGTATTTGACAGTCAATTAGATCCGTATTATATAAGCCATCGTGTATTGTATAACGGATTTATATTTGGATAATAGGTCTATCTAATCCATGTCCGCCTAATAGATCAGGATTAAAATACAATTCATTGATATTCCAAGGATTAAAATATAATTCAAAGAACTACTAGGATTTTTTCTCCTAGCACCAAGATTAAGCCAAAGACCATGATTGCACATGACAATTCTGTCCCATCTAAGGTCTATTCTTTCCAAGAAAAAAGGGCATCCTTTTGCTAGTGAATCAGTTTGAGCATATAGCAAATAAGGGTCTGCTAACGGTATCAAATTGTACTGTTTCGATATCGTACCTAACTTTTTATCTGATAACAATTTGACACGTGTAATATTTTTTATTTTATTATTTTTTATTACATTATTATTTTTTTCAATTAATGATATTAATCAGTTAAATCAAAATCAATAGCTGGGATTGCATGGTACTTAATTAGTATTGTGATCTCATCCAGCAAATAATATCCCTGCTCTCCTCATACAACAATGTTCCAGCTTCATGTTCTATAAAGTCTCTGCACACACAATCTTGATTTCATCCTTTTAACATATCTATTCTAAATATTAAGATTCACAGACCCGTTCTAGAATTCAGCACTAACTGAACTATGAGAATAAAATCATAGGGTAAGACATGGTCCTATTGGGCCCTCTGTTGGGTCCCCCGACCTATGGCTTTTTTTCCACCTCACATCAGAAAAAGCAATCCCCCACTTCTTTTTTTAAAAGCGGACTTAACAATTTTCATTTTATTTAAAAATGGAATTGATAAATATAACTTTATATGATAAAACGGAATCAACAAATCCGCTTTTAACAATAAAAATGGAATCCACATTTCCATTTTTGATGATAAAAAAAAATAGAAAACATAACCAAGGAGTACGCTTTCTCACGCCAGCACAGTGCACATCTTCTCATGTCTTCTTGAGTTAATATATTACATAAGCAACAACAGTTAACAGAAGATTACATTACAATATTTTTAATATATTGAGTGTACAGTACAAAAAATTTAATCTTTCAACATATAAAATAAAAATTTTTATTTTTTTCGAGGTGTAAAGATGATGTGAATTGAGTCCCATGGAAATATTCCTCGTGATTTTATTTTATTAACAATACCAAGTCAAAATTTTCCGGTCTTCGACATCCATTGTGGGGACCAGACTATGGTACCGAACCATTTCAAAAAGATGTCAATTGAAGACAAAATTATAATATTAATGAGAAGTTTACGACAATTGAGAAATATTATTTGAATTTAAAATATTAACATTATTTATTGACAGATAAAGTCAATAAATAATATCAATATTTTAAGTCCATGTCACATTAAGAAAAAAAAAGTTAAATTTGTATGGTGACCCCAAACAATTGAATGCTACGGCATTCAATCTGCATGAAATACAGATTTTCGTTCGTCGTGGACTGATACAATCGGAATATGTCACCTGGCAAAAGTCTCTTCGCCTTGGCAAACTCCCTCCATTCGTGAGTTATGTGTCGTCTGCCATCTGCCCTTGTTGAACAAATGAACTGCCAGATCTCTCCATCCTGATTCGTCACTGTGATTTCTTCATTTGCACGTGGTAAATGTACAGAATTCCGAGGAATCTGGAGATTTTTTGAGGTGTCCGTCGGTGATAGTTTTTTCTCAAAACATAGTAGATGGCCTTCCATTCTGCAAACCATAATAAAAGCAGCATATATTAGACACCAACACAAAGAATGGTGGAAAAGCATGTGTACAAGTGTTGTGTGCTCCAGAGAGGGAGAGAGCGAGAATTCTCAAACACGTACCTTTGTCTTTGCTTACTTTGTGATAAGTTCGGCTTGGATTCGAAATATTCAGATATTTATAGCTGCAGAGGTTACTACTATGATGAGACAAAAAGTCTAACCAACTAATGTTCAGATAATATGAGACAGATGTCTTGTGTTATATGCATTAGTGTTCCACTCGTGTCTCCGTCTGACAGAGACTTCTCCCTTGCCTTTTGCTTGTTTGTTTGATGGTTGGAGGAATAATGACTTTTGTGATGAAACGAAAAGCCTAACCCAAGGCACGACCATCTCAAAGTTGTCCTAAAGTGTAAAGTTTTTTGTTTTTTTGGGAAGGTAAAACTATATTGTAAATATAACAAAGTGTAAAGTTGGTTTGTAAAGTGTTGATACTATTCTATATTAATATAATGTAGTATTTTAAATTATTTTTTTTGCTTATAAATCTTTTGATGTGACTCAAAAAAATTTCACATGCTTTGGTTGTTGAGTAGTTAAATCATCACTTGTTTTTTTATTTATCATTTGTTAATACCAATGACAAATACATCAAGTGCTCCTTTTGAAAATGAATTACTTCTTCTACTCTTTTTTATTTATGTTTTTTAAATGTAAAGTTTTTTAACCGGGCTAAATGCTAGGATCCCAAAAGTGGGACCACAAATTAAGGATATAACTCGGGCGGGTTGGACCGGTTGAAAGGTCAACCCTAAGTGTACAATCTTTAATTCTAACTCTACCTCAATCTGATGTACTCAACTCGAATATTGTTCGAGGTTAATTCGGGCAGGCTTAAATTGAATTCGGATTGATTTCAGGTTAAAAATCAGATTGGATTTAGGTTATTTAATTTAGGTTGATTTTTTAAAGTGGAGATTTGATTTTTTAAAGTGTAAATCTAATTTTTTTCAAGCGCTCTGAGATGAAAGACGAGACGCAGATGAATCTTGATCAGAGTATTTATTTTTTATTTTTTATTATTTTTGTGCTAGCCATAAAAGAAATCTTCCTCATACTAGTGGGGTTTTGGGTCATGTGCAATCTCTCGAGGGAGTTTTGATCCACTGCGAATAAAACTACACATATTTGATCCTCTACAAATTTTATTGTAACAAAACTTTGGTAAAAATGAAAATTTTCATTAATTACAGTGAAAGTGGGAGTCATGTTACAAGTGTTAACTAATGTGGGACAAACAATCGATTACTTTCTGATTCCCTTGCTTTCTGTATTATTTTGTACATAAATCTATATCATTATCCTAATATTAATATTAAAATCAATTTTAACAATATTATTTTATTATAATTAGCACGATTTTATCGTAATGTGTTTATATGGGCAATGTGTATACAATTTTCCTCAAGTAAAGTCCTGAATATAGTGACCTTAGGTTTTGATCTTGCATTGGCATTGACCTATGTTTTACTTTGAAAATCTTCAAAGCCTTCTTCTCAACCTTTTAAGTAGCCGCAAATCTTGAAAATGTGTGAATATACACCCAAAATGGTCTGTGGGACCCAATGACTTTCTGTATCTCCATCCCCTTCGTCCCGGCGAGCATCATTCTCCGAATGCTTAAAAATTTATTCAACCCTTATATAATTATATATAAGCAAGTTTATGTCGAGTTTGTGAGTGTTTAACCAAGTCAAAGTTAACTCATTCAGTAATTAATCCACCCATTTATCACCCAAATTGACAAAATCTATATTTACTAATTGCGTCTTAATTGTAAGAGTCATGTCTAAAATTTTCAAGCTAAACACAAGAGAAGATAGATCAGTGATTGAAACCTCAATAGCAAGAAACCAAGAGAATTATCCACTCATAACAGCAATTGCCAGATAAACATGTAACAACATGGGCCATAGGAAAGCCTGGCACTGTATTATTATCGGAAATATGATACCAGAAGCTTGTCATTCATCACAATGTTCAACCATATTAGACCTTAGAGGTTCATTTTCTACGATCATCAGAGAGACAAAGAACATTTTTTTTTTTAATATAAATCACTATTATAAATAAAAAAAGCAGTTATCACAACTTTTGAATAATGCATGAGAAAGCACCGATAAAAAGGCGAAGAAAAACCCAAAAGTTGGATACAATAGAGCACCAGTAGAGGAGAACAAATATTCAATGTAACGATGATACCACAATAAAGAGTGTTAGTAATATAAATTTCTCACAAATTGTCCTCTCTGAACAACTCAAATATGTTCAAAAAAGAACTACTCAATCAAAATCCTGGTACAGACCAAAAGATTGTTTCATAGGACTAATTATAACTACAGAAAATAACATGTCGCGAGCTATGGGTTTTAGGATTGTATCATTAATCCATGAAACTCATTTCTTCTTTCCAGCCTTGGCAGCATCTCCAGCCTTGGTCTGCCAAAAAGAGGAACAATTAGCAGGCTAACAAGATCTCATAAAAGACTAAAATCCAAAAAAAAAAAAAATCTCATAGCAATCATCGTACCTTCTTCACTCCACGAATCTTCTTGGCTCTGTTCTTCCTCTCCTTCATTTGCTTCCTTGACTTCTCAACCTTAGTATCAAGTCCATTCTACCATCACAAGACACAAAAGTAAATGTGTGCAAGAAGGAAAGTTGAGAGAGGAAGCCTGAAGGAAAGAAGCAACAGTCTAGCCAAAAGTGACAAAATGTACACTACAATGACCATGTATTGAGATAGTCATGGACTTTCCATGCAAACAGAGATAAAAAGAGGGATGGGAGAGGCAGGGCAGGGAAAGAGAGTGCAAGAGACGATGTGGAATATCAGCCATATTGAAAACAAGAGACATTGGCTAAGTTAACCAGTTTGAACCATAGACTCATCTTCACACCCTCTTGATATGCAAGACAGCCAATATCTGAATGAATTATCATGGATGATAACCCAGAATTCAATGAAAAAATAAAAAATAAAAAAAGGTGAAAATTAGCTTAGTAGCTTATAACAAGTGGACATGAAAAAGTAAGTCAAATGAGAGTAGAGGATATATCAATCAAGAATAATCGTTATTCCCCACAAGAAGCAGTTATCTGTTGTTGCAACCTGTTTGGGTACATTCTATAATGCAAAGAATATATTGAAATTAAATATTAGTTCAGGTGAACAGGTCAGAGAGTAAAATTGAACCTTACGGATGCACAATTCATAAGCTCTACTCTCTACCTTGAAAATATCCAAGTGAAATCAAATAATAAGAGTCAAACATAAAGAACTCACAAGTGTACTGCGAGCTTCACAATGGGGAAACATATAACTAACTCAGATTATTTGGAAATACACAATCTTATTTTGCAAAGAATTCATTAATCTTAATAGTTGGAAAGAGAGGGAGAGCAGAGTGATTTGCTTGGAAGAATTGTATTAGTCTTAAGAACAAGTTTGAGGAGGTGGTGCTCGGAGTAAAGATCTCTTGGATCCAAAAATTTCTGAACTCCCATGTTCATACCAATGGCAACAGGCCTTGCCCTCCCTTCCATCCCATCCATGTTGACAGTGGATCAAGCCCTAAGATGGTCCATAGGGTTGCAGAAGGAAAGAGGTAAAAATTCAAGAAAATACCTAAGAGATTGTTTATGGAAGCTTTTTTGGAAAATGAGAACGAAATTGTGAGCTAGATCTTCAATTACTTTTCTGCTATAAAGCACGAATACTCTCAAGAATGTGAAATATCCGTGTTGGACACCAACAACCTTTGAACACGTACCAAATACTCTTTTATCCCTATTCATAATTAAATAACAAAATTTTAAAATTTAGACACATCTGACACTTATTCGGTGACATGTCCAACACTTTTTTAGATTGTCTACTACTAAATAGCATGTGTTGACATGTGATTAACAAATCTTAAAATTTTGGCTAATAAGTATCTTATATTATGACTAGATAAAGTTAAATTTGTACCCATATTACAATAATAAAAGCAAAGAATCCATAAAATTTTTAAAAAAGAGAAATTGAGGAAATGAAAGCAATCACTTAAATTATATATGTTGGGTGCACACGATCTACAAAAAAATGATGATTATTAACTATTATGATGCTTTCTTTCAAATATTCATACTAGATGACTAGATACAACATTTACTTATAATAAAGTACCGAATTTCTTTATGAATAATATTATTATCACTATATTTGTGACAAAACAATATAATTTTATATAGAAAACAAAATTATCTATATTCTATAGTGTCACCAACGTGTCTGTGTCCTACTTTTTTGAAAAATATCGTGTTTGTGTGTCCGTGTGATGTCGTGTACCGTGTCCCTGCTTCTTATCTTAGCTTTTCTGGATTGCATTCATCAAATGGTACGAGTAGACTTGAGATTTAGAAACAATTGATACTAATACAGAATGCAATAAGATATGGAATATAGCAATACCATATGACCTAAAAAAATAGGATAGATAATGACAATATGCATCAATAATAAAAAATATTTTATATACATGCTATTATCCGATGATTTGATAATTATAAATTTAGTAAATCTATTAACAACAATTGGAAATTAAGTATCTCTACTTTCAAACAAGCATAAATCATTATGATCATGATATACCTACAAAATGAAGTTTAGAAGTATTTGTTATCAAGAGATAGGTTGTAGTTAGCCCATTTTGGGTTCTTTTGACATGTAGTTGTAGATAATTCTTAAGAAAAAACCGACATCTCGAAAACCATATGGATTTTTATTTATAACTCAAGAGAAAAAGGTAAAAATAAAAACCTAAAATCATTTATGGTGCTCTGAGTATTCACCATATTTGAGACGTATCTAAAAATAAATAAATATTTTCTTAATAATTGGATAGGTATCTTTGGATATCTCATAATCGTATCCGAAAAGAATACTCGACCTATACAGAATATCGATGCTTCATTGTATGGAATAAAAGGGTTGTATTGGATTGAAGATCAATTAAATTCAACAAACCGGATTGGGAGAGGTCTTTTTTTAAACTGACCCAATTAATGTGACATCTTGTTCTCTTCAATTTTATGTAGCTAGATTTCAGGATTGTTGGGAGATGATAAAAGGGTTGTATTGGATTGAAGATTAATTAAATTCAACAAAGCGGATTGGGAGAGGTCTTTTTTTAAACTGACCCAATTAATGTGACATATCTTGTTCTCTTAAATTTTATGTAGCTACATTTCAGGATTGTTGGGAGATGATAAAATTTGATATGATAGAAATGTTTGTGGAGCTCTTTGAAAAAAATAGTGAGGAAGAGGCATAATTTTGAAAAACGGCCGTTACATTACGCAATAGAAGCGGAAGGTTGAATTCCCGTTACGAGCCAATATAAAGGATGGAATAAAGTTCACGTGAGTAATGGCCGTTACTGGGTCATAACGGGTCCATAATAGCCGTTACTGGGTCATAACGGGTCCATAATGGCTGTTACCGGGTCATAACGGGGTCTACCCATGTCAATTTTTGCCTTTTTCCTAATTTTTCTCAAAAATCAAAACAATTTTGCAAAAAAAAAAAGCCCAAAATTGCATGCAACCACAATTTTAAAAAATCTCACAAAATCGATGAAAGCTCACCAATAAATATCGGTAACATACTCTTCAACAACAAAAATCTCTCCGGCTGACATTTCAAATCCCCATTATTTCATGGAGTGTACAGACAAGGGAGATGGTTTTCTTCACAGTTCCTTCTTCCTTTTGGTTCACTTCATTGGCTACAACTTATTGTGGCTAAAAAATGAGTATAGACACCGAGAGAGAGAAGCATGAATAAAACAATATGTTGCACTTGTGTGCAAAACACCACCATAGATATAGGTTTTGGTGTGAAACGATGCGCCAGCCACCTGCCCCAATTTGAGTGATAGTTGGACATTTGGAGAAGAAACATATACACATGTTTCTCTATTGTTCAACAGTTCTTTTGTAAAAAGGTATGGGCTAGGACTTTGGTTCTCAGGGAAGGTGGCTTTAGGCTGATCCAATAAATTAACAGATTTTTTTTTCTATTTTTATTATGTCAATATTTTCTTTTTTCTTGGCTTAAAATTATTATAAAACTATATCATGTTTAACCTATGATATAAGTTAAACTTGTTTATTATCTAAAGTACCTTAAATGACACAATAAAATAAACTATAAACCACTTAAAACATATATCTAAACAATTTTGAAGTTAAAACATACATAAATTCAACTTTTAGGGTGAGTTGTGAATAGAAAATAAAGATTCACCACTCTGGTTTCCGTTACTGTTACGTAACACACATTATATTCCGCGTCCGTTATAATGTTACCGTTACTGTTATGGTAGCCGTTGCCGTTGTTTAGAACCATGGCAAGAGGACTTTTTTTAAACTGGCCCAATTAATGTGACATATCTCATTCTCTCAAATTTTATGTGGCTACATTTCAAGATTGTTGGGAGATGATAAAATTTGAGATGATGGAAATGTTTGTGGAGTTCACACCCATTACATACCGCCTCCGTTACAATGTTACCGTTACCGTTACGACAGCCGTTACCATTGTTTAGAACCATGGCAAGAAGACTTTTTTTAAACTGGCCCAATTAATGTGACATATCTCATTCTCTCAAATTTTATGTGGCTACATTTCAGGATTGTTGGGAGATGATAAAATTTGATACGATGGAAATGTTAGTGGAGTTCTTTGAAAAAAAATGTGAATACGATTACTACTATTTCTTTCATTTGCCATATTCAAAAAAGAACAATTCTTCAAAGTAAGTGATCTTAGGCAGATTACTTGAGATACTTCATTGTAAATTTGATGTCTAGAAGATTGAGAGAGATTTTGGCTTGACACTATTTCAATGACTAAAATACTTTCGCTAAGGAGCATCAAATATTGGATATGGTTTCTGTGGCCAATTAGATGGTGCAAGAATATGGGTCATGTTTACAGGGATATTTTTCTAGTTTCAATAAAATTTGTCGTTGATGATAAAAAAATCCAGATTATGAAAGAAAGTAACAAAATCCAACACAAAAGGACTTGTAATGCGTTAATACACAATGCAAGACCTATATTATTCAATGTGTATGGCTTTGATAGGTCCAGGTAACATGATGCAATCATTGCAAATGAACTTGTCATTTCAACTCCACTAAGCAACACCTGCCCTTGTTATTTTACACTCATCCGTAAATTACTTCTAATTGATCTCTTTTTTTGGGATGGCAAGTTAATTGTTTTAATGGATTTCTTAGGTGCAAAAGTGAACAAATCCACCCATCCTCTTCTCCACCATAGATACGTGGTGCAAAATGAGACAAACATACTAATGATCTGAGTGAAAAACTAGGGGATAAACATTGATAACTTGGCATACACCCCATATTCAGGTACTGTAAAGCGACCAGGAACTCTATCCCCAGAATCACCAGGGAAAAAAATCAATCAACAAAAAGACAAGACTACTTCAAAGTTCAACCAGAACTATCACAAATTGTCACAAGCAAAATTTAACCAACAGCTACCCCATGTAGGGTAATTATACGCAGGACCATTAATTGCAAAAAGAAAATGATACTAAAGTGAAATTACCCTTATTAGCCTGTACTTGGGCTCATATTTCTTCGCATTCTCTACAGAATCATAAATCAAGCCAAAGCCAGTTGACTTCCCACCTCCAAAATGAGTACGGAACTTGAAAACGAATATTGCATTTGGGTCCTTGACCTCGTACATTCTGGACAACTTCTCTTTCAACTCAACCTTCATGGAAATCGACAAAAATAACCAGAATTCTGATTACTGATACACTGAACAACTATAAAATAGGAACATATAGCAACAAAAAACAAGTAAAAGAAGGCATATTACCTTGGAAACATTGGGCCTTCCTGGATGAAGAACATCAATGACCTAAACACAAAGGAAAAACAAAAGCATCAATGTCCTGAACCAATTAACTGCTCAGAAGAAATATAAAATTGAACAAAATAGCTTTTAAATCTCTTATTAAACCTCTGCTCCAACCAATCATTTTGTTTTCACTTTTTATGGAAACAGACAAATGACAACATCTTACCAACTGACATTAATATATTGACAGGAACAACAGAAATTCGAGCACTGAATCCTACACATCTATTATTCCAAACTCAAGCATTCCGCTACAACCAGTCGAATTTTGTTATGTTTGTTGAATGATGTGAATGTAAGGCAACCAAGCTAATTTAACCATAAAGAACATAAAGGAGAACAAATGAAAGTACAACTTCAGACCTTACACTCTCCATTATGTCAAACACAAATATTTAGGCTAAACCTAGTTACAAATTACAATATTTTAAATTTTTAGGATAAACAAAGTTCAAGTTTTTTTTTTGGGTCCACTAACAAAAAGAGGAAGCAGCATAGCTTGGTTGGTAATCGAGAAAATGAAAGAAAAGCAGGGAAAATACAACTTGGAATATTATATCCTCCATTTACAACTCAAACATTAAACTAAACCAGTTAAAATTTCTTTAATTTTGTCCAACGAACGTAAATGCGAAGTATCACAACTGATTTGCTCACCAAGAAAATGAAGGACAACACTGGGCAAAGATACCGAAAAATATTATATCTCCACCATCATTGGAAATACAAACATTTACCAAAGAACCCAGTTATAATTTCTAGTCTCTAGGTACACTACACCCAGTTTGTAATTCTCCGCTTTTCGAAAACCAAATCAACTCAAAACACACGATTTAAACAGAGTGTAGTGTAGGCAAAATAACTTCATCTTCAAATACCTATACATTTATGTACCCCTATATGAAGCTGTATAGATAAATGTAGGTCTAGTGAAAGCGAGACTTACAAATTGCTTTCTAGAGAGAAGCCGATTGGTCATGAACTTTCTGGTGCGTATAGTTACTGCCTTGTCCGCCATAGCTCTTCTGTGAAATTGTGTAAAGAAGGAGCACAAACACCGAGGGCAACTGCCAAATACAGCAACAGAGAAGAGTGAGAGAGAGAGAGAGAGGGGGGGGGGGAGCGGGGGAAAAGGCAAAACCCTAGAATTTATATGTGGATCGGTTTCAACAAGTGCCCTAATTATTTGACTTGTTAGTGATGGGTCGGGTTAAATTATGGTGGATCAACACGTTAAGGTGTAGGATTGAAAATCTGAGTGAAGATTAAAAAATTGTTCAAATTCGACTCGTTTAAAAAATGAGTCGAATTCAAATCGAGTTTAAAACTAGTTAAAATTGAGTGGGATTTAAGTAGTTTGACTATTTTATAATATACAAGTTGAGTTTTGTGAGTTCAAATTGAATTTTTTTAGTCTTATTTTTTTAAAGAAGTCTAAAAAATTATACAAATATAAATTATTTAAAAAATAAGTAAAACCCGAATAATTTGACTCGATTATCAATCCTAGCAAAACTATTAACAATATTTCTATTTCATTTTTCTCCAACCAAAGTTTAGCAATTTACTTCACTTATTTAATTTGTCAATTTACATTTTAGGAAAAATTATACTCAAATTCTTGAGATTTATTACTTAATCATTTAGATTCCTTAATATTTGAAATATTATACATAGAGCTCTTAAAATTTGTATTCACATAATATTTAGACTCTTGTCGTCAATATCCATCAGTACATCTGTTAGTAAATTACATTCAGACCCCTTAAAATTCGTAGACGTGTAATATTTAGCCTCCTTAAGTTTAAAGTGATATATTTAGACAAAAAAAATACTTCAATTAAAGACAAAATATCAAATATTTTAAATTTTACAATCAAAATTTATTTTTTTAAAAAATTGTAATTAATATACAATTATACTATCTATTAAAATTTAATTTGGTCATTTAAACTACCAAATTACCTCAATTATAGTTAGAATATATTGTGTCCATTACTATTTGATCTCTTATTTGATTTTTTAGTTTTATTCCAATAAATAATATAATTGTATACTAATTATGAGTTTTTAAGAAAAAATTAAATTTTATTTTTTATTTTATTTCAATAAATAACATAATAGAACATGAGTTTTTGTTGTAAAATTTATGTTCTATTATGAATGACTTAGACCCCTTATTTGATTATTTATTTTTATTCTATAGATAGTATAATTGTATTCTAATTACGATTTTTTAAAACAAAATTAAATTTTTATTTTTGATTGTATTCAATAAATGATACAATAGAATATGAATTTTAGTTATAAAATTTAAAATATTTAATATTCTCTCTTTTATTAAAGTATTTTTGGCTTAAATATAACATTTTAAACTTGAGATATCAAAGTATTATATGTCTACAAACTTCATATGGTCTGGGTGTAATTTACTAATTGATGGACATACTAATAGTCATTGACGATTTAAGTGTTACGCGCGTACAAACATTAAGGTCTGTGTATAATATTTTAAATATTAAGGGACTGAGTGATTAAGTGACAAACCTTAGAGGGTATGAATGTAATTCTCCCTAAATTTTATTATTTAGACACTAGTTAGGTACAAGTATTTTCAATTCAATCACTCAGCACACATAATCAAATTCAATCTCCTTCAAAACAAAACTTAAGCATCATTCGATAACATTTAAAAAAAAAAAAAATTTATTCTTTTAAATAGGGTTTAGTTTGTAGTATTTATTTTTATTTTTCTTTGGCACTAAATTTTCTTTTTTACTCAAAGTTAATACATCTGTTAGAACTTAAAATGCACATACCAGTATATAAATATACTATTTATATACTAGTATGTATATATGTGTGTATATGTATATGTACGTATGTGAATATATCTCTTTTGTGAAATAGGAATAAAACATGCTTTAATTTTCTAAATAAAATTATTTTTATATTAAAAAATGCTTAACATACGATACATTATGTGTTACTTGATCTCTGTTAGATTTGTAACTCTCCTATGTTTTTTTTTAACATAGCCAAAAAAAAAAGAAAAAGAAACTCTCCTATATTTTCATTACTCCAGTTTCAACCAACAGATTCCAAAGACAAATCTTAGGGCAAAGATTGATTAGGACACCAAATTAATTAGATTACTTTTTCATACCTACCAAAAATAAATTCTTTATTTTATGGAAGTCCATTGTTTAAATTCCATACCCTAAATGCCTTTTTATTGAAAGAAGTTTTATTTTATTTTTTTAATTCCAGGCATTGTAGAGCAAATATGGGGTTTTGGCAACAATTTCTCAGTACATAAAGGGAAATAGAATGTTAATGATTTTTCACGACTTGAATATGCAATGCAATATTAATTTTATTTTATTTTTTGATTTTGGTTCAGCAGTTAAGGGTGTCCAGATCAACTTACGCGTATCTCAATTAATCCCCACCTCGATCTGGTTAAAACTCAATCATCCACGCAGGAATTAAGGTATTTATGAAAGATAAATCCTTCATGACCTGACCCCATGGAATTGTCATCTCTCAAATTCCGATTTGATTACTTGGTCTTAAAAACTTCATTTTTTTAATTAACTGCTCATAGTGTCACGCACCATCCCGGTCTCCCAAGGACGAGACGCGACTAGATTTTTGATACACACACACACACACACACACACATATATATATATATATATATATATATATATATATATATATATATATATATATATATATATATAATTTGGACTAATAAAACAGTAAATAATCTCACAAGTGCAACAACATCACCCATCATTTTACTCATTAAGTATGATGGTAAAACTTGTCTCATAACCTGTACCAATTACTTGTTTTCCAGTTTATAGACATATACAAAAATCTTACACCCACATAGCATACATCACAAGTACGCTTGTTGAGTCTGTTTACAAATATATATATTATTAACCTGCTATAATAATCTCTTACTCAATCTAATATACAATTCAACAAATAATTATACAAACACTCAACATGTATTACTCAACTTATTAAAACTAAATATATAATTAACAGACATATAACCTGAGAAATATCACATTAAACTCAATTTCACTAGACAGTACTCAACTGACTGAACAATGGATTGATCTACAATTCTCTCTATAGTACTTAAAAAAGAGAATCTATGTCACGCCCCAAATTTCATAAAAACATGATTAAAACAAATACTTTGTTATTTAAAAAAAAAAAACACATGCTATACTGTAAAAATATCTATGAAAGTATCTCTTTAGTTGAAATAAATCAAATTTTTTATTTTTGAAAATTTTGGCAGAGTTTCCTTTAAAAATTGGGCTTCCTACCAGTTAGTAAGAGCATCCCTGTGAGAGCATAATATAATTTAAACTAATTAAACACCCACAACATGCCTCCATCTAAAAATATAATCCAACTAAATTCGGCGTGGCAATTAGAGGCTCACAAAGTCCTCCCAAACCGGGATACATTCAACACCAATATATACCACAACTTAGTATCCAAAGTCATAATTTTATATTACAATACTCAAAATAATAATCCCTCTATGGGATGATTAAGTGTACACCATAAATGCCTTAAGACTACCTTTTCACATACAATGCTTGAGTGCTAACATTTCTACATAAATTTTAAAAGTAAATACAAAAAGGGCCAAATGGGATTCTTTCTAGTCCAAGCTCCCACAAGCATTTCATCACTTATGCCACAGGATGCATGTTAGTCTCTGAAAATATTAGTAAGAGATGAGCAACTACATGCTCAGTAGGATAATCCTTTTTCCAAGCTTTTACAAAGTTTTAAAAACTAACATTCCACAAATCATACGAATAAGTAATAAAAGTTTTCTATAATTAAATACAGGTACAAGATAATAAGCAAAACATTTATAAAAATCTCCCAACACCTCAACATTAGAAATATACAAGGTATAAATTAATGTCAAACCATTATAGCAAATATCATGCATGTCTCGCATACGGACAATATAATCAATCCACTGGTTCACGTATGAACCATCCCCGAGGAACCTTTTGGGTCTTGCACCTTAGGGTCTCATCGTTCTTCTTGCTTTTTAAGGGGAATGTGTAGAGTGTAGCTTATGACACCACATAGGCCATCACCGAAAATCACTACCATAATCAATCCCTCTTAGGACTAGTAGCCACCTTGACAACTCACTCTACAGGCCCAACTGTCTACTAACCCTCTACCTGTCAGTATCGAGCATACATTTTCTAATACTCATTATTTTCTATATCCATAAATCCTTTTGAAACTCCATGTCATAACCTTGACATTTTATCAAATATATAGTATACTCAAATCTCAAAATTTACATTTTCCAAGCAACACAATTAATTTCAAGAGAATAAGTCATATATATTATGTACAAAATCATAGCATACTTCAAAACTTCCAAATCATAAGTTTAATCAAATACCCATAACTAAAATCAAACTAGGGTTTCGAACCCACTACAAAATTATTTTTATTTCCAAGAGAATATGTAATATATATTATGTACAAGATCATAACATACTTCAAAACCCTCAAATCATAGATTTAATCAAAAACTCATAACTAAAATCAAACTAGGGCTTCAAACCCATAAGACTAAAATTATTTTTATGCGTGTGAGTTCACAATTCATGGCATACTCAACACTAAATCAAAGTTTATAACAAATATTTTGTCATCAAACACATAGTAAGCTTTGACTAAATAAAATACATGAGATGCACAATGTAAATGCAAGAGAGAGGAAAACCCCACATAGAAATCAAGAATTCCAAGCCAAGTTCTTAGGATTTCCAAGCTTTAGAAACCTTTTTCTTCCTCTTTCTCTTTCCGTTTGTCTTCTCGTAGGGTTCTAAGAGGTTTTGGGTGAGAGTAGAATGAAAGAATGGAATAAAAGGGGTTGAAATCTGTGTTTTAAACACAGTAGTTTTGAAATCTACTTTTCATGGGCTGAAAAATATATTTTTTATCCGAAATTACGATTTTGTCACTAAACATTCTAATTTGATCCATATGACTACCTTAAGATTTTTCAACATTTTGGATTCATTTTTAATGTTATTTTA